ATTTCTCCCAGTGCGGCTCTCCCTGGGCAGTATCGCAGTTATGGCTGGATAACCAACGTTCCTGGAAGGGCAGGACACATTGGATTTTGCTATGAGCCTACAGAGAGCAAGATTATTTGACCAAGTCATTTAATTGTTTCTAAAGATGCTTCCAGCCTTTTGTTTTTAAGGTAGTCTTTGTGAGGTTTAGCAAAGGATTGATAAATCCTTATTGTCAGTGTTATGCATACAGTGTATGCATTGTAATGAATTATAGAGAGGTGATTGAGGGTCCACAGCCAAGAGTTAAAATGCTCAAAAGGCTGGAGTGGGTTTACATGTTCAGATATATGACCTTTGTAAAGTGCAAAGAAGTGGGCAGCCAGATGAGGGAACGGAACTTTGACATATATTAAATTAATTCAGGGTAAAGACAATTTATCTTCTATCCATCTTTAGAGAATGCTAAATCCTTAAATGTGATGTCAGTATGCACTCTTTAAAGAGGTGGTGGTTGGTAAATATTTCAAAAATGCTGTAAATAGTAGCCTTGTCTGAGTGATTAAAGATGTACATTAGCATAGCCTCACTTTTCCTGGGTTTTCCTACTTGTAAAATAAACAGGTCTGATAGTAATGACTTCATATGATCATCAGCGGGTTGAAGGAAAGAAGTCAGGGGAACCACTCAGCGTGTGGACTCACCACGAAGGGAGCCCTCTGTCAACGGGATAAACTCAGCTCTTCCCAAATGCGGCAAAGCACAGAAGCACCTACAAACACACCACAGAAGTCCGGGATGTGCGCCTTCAAAAATCCTGGTGAGTAATGAGAATGAGAAGCACTAAGAAAGGTGGCCTCTCTCCACTACAGTTACTGGTCAGTGTTTTCTGTTGGAAGGCTTTTCCTCCTTTATTTTGTCTGACACATTCTCACTCACCGCTGATGAAGAAATGAAAACCATCACTCGATACTCCAATACTTCCTGTAAATTGTGCATCCTTTGTGATGTGACTGTCAGTCATTCTCATTGGGGTGGATTCTATTTTCCTGCACTGTGTGTGCATTGGTCTTACTAGATTGTTAATCTGCCTGTTAGGCATTGCAGAAATGTCCAAGCTTCAGAAGTGGGGAGCCTTCACTTTCCCAGTCTTTACCTTGCTTAACCTGACAGCTTGGACTATGAGGCATAAGGATTTGAGTGTAGTCAGTCCTCTCGTAAGGAGCCTGGTGGGGAAAAGCCAGTCAACCCAGCTATCTGTAGACACCCGAAGGAACAAACTGAGGTCAGCCAAGCCAGGATCAGATCATGAAGACCCATTTCTGTATCAGAATAATAAACGGTGGTTATTTTCAGCCACAAGTTATGTAATTTGTTATACAATGTTGTAGATTTAGCTATAGTAATAGCTACCTCTAAATCGTAGTTCAGCAGTAAACTGTGTGACACAACAGGATGGGCTTTAAGTGGTTTCAGTCACCTCTCCCTCAGTACTCTACACTAGCCTTTTTTGTGACATTTACTGTTTGATGCTATAAAATCTCTTTACCGAGGGTCAGTGAGTCAATGAAGGTTAAGTCAATATCACCACTCAATAACCATCAAGAACATTATTTATGGATGCCCTGTTTATATCAAGTCTGGCAGGTGATAGTGCTCAGGTAACTCTTCAGTGCTGAATTTATGCACACACATAATTCTAGGACCCTTTGTTATCCGAAAATCTGAAAGTGGTTAGCTCATCATCAGAATACTGATAATGTATGAGGATGCTATAATTTTATATATGTTTAAATTTGTCTTGGTGATAGATTACAATTGAAATATATGTGTGTCTCATCACTGGACTCTCTAAGTTCTCTACTAAAATTATTCTAGGTTATACATATATTCAAATTTATTAGAGTGTTTTAAGATTCCATGTTTAGCATTAATCTCTGTCATTGAAAATAAATTTCATTTTTATCAGGGTAATAGTAATATATAGTTTTTTAAAGTAACTTTCAGGTATGGGAAAGATGTCAAAGTTGAGTATATCACTGGCCTAGTGGTAACCTCACTGTAGCTATGTAGTAAATGTTCTCTTACAACCTGAACTAGACAGGGACAGCTGGAGATGTGTGCATATGCGTGTGCGTGTCTGTCTATGTGCAGGTCATGTGTGTATGTGCTAGGGGTGTTAGATGATAATGTCTTTGCTTCAAACAGATCATATTGTTTTACTGAGGCCACAGTGAGAAATGAGTTACACTGTGTTCAGAGGTATTTGGAAATTATTCTTGAGGAGAACACCCCAAGCCTTGATAGGATGTGACAAGGTCCTCACAGAGAGGGTGTGTACCTGTGTGGCCATGTGTGTGGGGACCAGAGGACAACCTTGGGTGCTGTTCTTTGGCCATGCGCCTTGTTTTAAGACAGATTCTTCCACTGGCCCGGAGCATACCAAGTAGCTGCGCTTGCTGGCCAGCGAGCCCCAGGGACCCATGTGTCTACCTCTGCAGTGCTGGGATGACAAGTGTGCCACCATGCCTTTAACGTGGGTTCTGGGGATTGAACTTGGATTCTCATGTTTGAAAGGCAAGTGTTTTACCTACAGAGCCATCACCGGAGTCCTCAGTGTCATTCTTGAACATTTGCCTTGTGCTCATTGACCTCGATGTAATTATCCCATTTTAAATATGAAGAATCTCTTGAGTGACATATCCAGAGAGCAGCAGGTCCAGAACTACTGTCCAGCTCTGTCTGCTATGCATTCTTCGTTATGTCTCTAATGTTAAGATGGAGATGACCCCTCATGCGTTGCTGCCTAAGTACCACACAGTGTGCTAGGGGCTTTGCATGTTTCTTTTCGTTTACTGTCAAACTCTGAAGGATGAAGAATTCTATAATTGTCATTCCTATACATGTTAGGCACTGTTCTTAGTACAAAATGTTGCATAGAAAAATCAGGATTTGAACCCAGACTGCTATCATGTTGTACTTGACAAATACTTTTTTGAGAGAATGGGTAAATTTTTATCATAATGAAATAAAATCCTAATGCAAGAATATAAAACAAGCCCACACTAACTGAACTGACTCATAATTAGAAATGGTACACACACACACACACACACACACACACACACACACACACTTTTTAAAGAAAGTTTCATTCTAGCTCAGACTGCCTTGAACTCATATGTAATCCTCTGCCTCAGTTTCCCAAATGCTGAGATTATAGGTATGAGCCACCATTCCTGGCTTCTAACTGGATAATTTTTAACCAAATATTTCAAGCCATTGTTTTGAATAGTTTTTAAATTTTTTATTTATTTTAGTTTATGTAAGTGTTTTGCCTGCATATATGTAAGTGCTATGCCCATGGAGCCCAGAGAGTATACTGGATCCCCTTCAACTGGAGTTACAGATGGTTGTTAGCTATCATATGTGTGCTGGGAACAGAACCCAGCCAGTGCTCTTAACCACGGAGCCATCTCTCCAGCCCCTTGAATAGTTTACTATGGGTTCAACCTGACCTGTTTTTGTCTGAATGGACTGGCTTTATCTGGATCTTAGCAATAGTTACATTGTTCTTCTAATTAAAACTTGTTTTGACTATCTTGAGTTGGATTTGTTTTAACTCACCAATTAATACTGAAATATTTGGTGTGGTTTGGCTTTTCATTGATTCACCTACTTTAAGTTCATTAAAACTAAACCTTTCTGCAGTTTAAATCAGCTTTAAAACTCTGCCTAGGTTTTTAACGTGGTCAGAAATTTTGGCGCAAATTACACTTTGTGGGAATTCATCGGTAACCCTAACAGTTCCATAAGATGATCCAAGAGAAAGAATTACATGGTCCAAAACCTTAATCACCTACTCCCCTTTTAGAGATTTACCACATCATAGTCACCATGTGCACTGGGTCTTCAGAAAGTAGAGGACGACGTCTCATTTTACTTCTTGTCTTTCCAAACTTTAGTAAGACAAACAAAGCCTTTCATATTTTTACAAAAACAGTATTTTTGTTGTTTGTTTCCCTGTGTGTGTGTGTGTGTGTGTGTGTGTGTGTGTGTGTAACAGTATTTTTGTTGTTTGTTTCCCTGTGTGTGTGTGTGTGTGTGTGTGTGTGTGTGTGTGTGTTTATTTTAATATGGTTGGAAAACTACTGGTTTAGAACATCCTTCAACTTCTTTTAAACTATAACCAAGTAGTTCAAATAGATTAGAAAACATTATTTTAGGCTTTGATTATTTCTGAGTTTTCATTATTAAATGTCTGGGAACTTTTCTGAATCTTAAACAGAGTCAGTTTGTCAAATGTGATTAAATGTACAACATTCTATATATTTTCTTACTGTTTTTCCATGGAGAGACAGAGCATGTTTCATATATTTTTTATAAATGATATTTATGTTATACATATGCATGTGTGTGTGTATGTGTGTGTGTGTGCGTGTGCCCACATGTGAATGCAGGTGCCCACAGATATTAGAAGAGGGGCATTGGATCTCCTGGAGCAGAAGTTACAGGCAGTTGTGAACCACCTAACTTGAGTGCTGGGAACTAAACTCTGTTCCTCTGCAAGAATAGCAAGTGCTTTTAAGAGCTGAGCCTTCTCTCCAGCCACCAGAGCATGTTCTAGACAGTTTGTAAAAGCAGCTCATATGAGGGACAAAAAGAAAGACACTTTGATTATGTCAAAGCCATGATTAACTTGGAATATCTAAAATTACATCCAGGGAAAGGTGAGCATACCTGCCCGTGAGTGAGTGTGGGTGTCCAGGTGGGCTGAGGTTGTTAGATAATGTCTTTGCTTCAAACAGCTCAGGCTGTTTGACTAAAGCCAGGGTAGGAAATGCATTTCCCTCTGTTCAGAGATATTTGGCAATCGTCCTTGTGGAAAACACCCCAAGCCCTGCTAGGTTGTGACAGGGGTCCTTACTGAGATTTCAAAGTCTTACTCATGGAGTATATCCTAAAATGTCAATAAAAGACTCTTTATTCATAAATAACTGATAAGCAGTAATTTACGTCTGTACATTTATCTCGAAAAGTCAGTAACCATCCATTTTTTTTTTTGCAAACTCTACATAAAACATCCAAACCATCCATTTTGTTCAGTACAATATAACATAGCTGTTTGGCATTACCAAATATATATGTATATATATTTATAGGTATGTACATGTGCTGAAAAAGAAGCCAGTGCGGCCTTCTGAGAAGTCCATCCAAGTGTTCACTGTACAACATTCAGAATTTACACTGATCATACAAGGCACAAAAAGTGTGACACGAAGCCAAGGCCATGCTGGCATCCGCTCTCTCCTCTGCCTGACTCCTTCAGCTTCATGTCCAAGTAGTGCTCAGCTCTGCTCCACATTTTATCTCATTTTTTGGCTTGGAACACATCAAATAAATGTTGAGAGTGGTAGGGGTTTGAGAAATGAATCATTTGAAAGAACCCCCCATGTGCCTTCCCAAATAAACAGAATGAAATGAAATCCATTTTAAATTCTTCCACACAGAAAAGGAAAACAACCACTCATACTTTTTGTGTTGGGCCAAGAGAATAAGCCAGAATCCCTCTACTTGCTTATGTTCACAATAGTTCTAGGTCAAGATATACTGAAGTGTGTGTTCCAATCAGACCTTGTTAAGAAGAATGAAAGTTCTATCTTCCAGTTTAGAAAAGGAGACAGATGCTTTCCTGACTGGAAAATTCTGACACGGATATTTTCCCACCTCTCTATAGGAGCAGGATGCATCTAGCCTTGACTGACTTGTTCAGCTTTTCTCCCAGGAGGCTCTGATGGCTGCGTCCTGGTGATTCACCCTCTCGCACCCTCAGGGCTTGCTAATGATCGAATACTAGAATTATCAGATCAAATTCTGAATGTAATATCTGTGTTTCGGTGAAGGGGTCAGGAGGCGTGATATTTTGCTTACACACCTCCTTTAAATATCATGACCCAGAACCCCAGTGAAATCACTACCCACTATAAATGTATCAGATTTAAGGGAATTATATAAATTGCCTACTTTTCAAATCTTGGTAAGAGTTATGCTTGATTTAGGTGAAATATTTTGGAATTAGCAAAATTTGAGACATAAGGGCATTTTCATAGTAATCACTTTTGTAAAACTATTTGGCATAGAATTCCATTCATGCAAAGAAATACATTACCAAATTCACTGATAGGTCATGTAACCAAAGGTACAACATTTTGGGAAAAAAAAAAATATAAACTCTACTGACAGTCTGGTTGGGTGGGGGGGAATTTTGTGATCAGGCCTAGCCATGAAGTTTACTGCCTCTTTGTCTTTGGGTTCGGATGCAGGTGGGTTCGACATGAAGTTGAAATGCTGCTGTCCTAGGCTGGCTTCATGAGGACACTCCAAATCCATGATTTTTACCGCAAAAGAAAAGCAATGGGTAGCTGCTTCAAAACCACATGATTCTACAGGAGTTAAATTCCTACTTCAGATCACAGCACTACACACTAGTGACTAAGGCCAGGTCTGCTTCCGTCCCCTCTTATCCTCAAAAGTTACAATGTGAGAACTGCCATTTGGGTTTTGCCGGTTACCCTGGAGTGAGGATGTGAGGGGTCCACGGTCGATGCTGGCTCTCCTAGAGCTGCTTTTGCGAAGAAACACCACATGCTGTCAATACAGCCAAACAGCTGTGTAACTGCAGCTTTGAAAGAGTTTGGAAAGGAAAAACACAAAATATGCAACACACCTAAGATTAGTAACATTTTCACTTTTGTGACATTTGACAAAATACATTTTTGCCTGTAGTTCAGAAAAATTCTCTACAGACAAAACAGCGGAAAGTACGGAAACAGCCATTCAGCTTTTGGCTAAAGCATCGTTTTCAAATACAGCACTATGGTAATTAACACCAATGGGCTAATAAAATGTTGTCACCATCTGTAAGCCCACGTTTCACTCTCCCATCTGCTGTGGCTGTCACCTGTAGTCCATGCAATGGGAGTTTTGTTGAGGATTTAAGCTTTGCAATGCTTCATAAGAAAACAGAATGAAAGTCGGCCACGATGGGCCAGAGAGGCCTGTTTTCTCAGTCTTTCCTCACGTCACCACCTTTCCAGAGCTGGAACGAAGACCTCAGAGAATGTTACCTTCAACATGTCTGATAGTTCTATCACTGAACACGTTTACGGAGCACAGAGGGACCAAGAGATTGAAAACGGCTCAAAGGAAAAACAGAAGCATAGCCAAAGATTTTGTTAGTTAACACTTTGAAATTCACAGGTAACTTCGGTGAAAGTATATAAAACCATTTACATAATTTTAATATTCTACCTCTGCTTGTCAGTCTTGATGTGGAGAATTTGTCAAGAAAAAACTGCAATAAATCCAGAAATTTTACTCCAAAGAGAACCCCATGTGATCTGACAATATTCCTTCTCCAAAACAATTGAAAGAAAAATACCAGGGCTGCAGCATAGGATCGCACCTCTGCAGTCGGAGATAAAAACAATAAAAAGAGAAAAGTTCATCTCTTTAAAGACAACTCTGTCAGTTCTTTTCCATCTCTTACAAAAAGACCAATAAAATTTTTGTGGGAGTACATCTGAGCTCTATGAGCTTTCCAGAACCGGCAAATGAAGTTTGCATTTATATCCATAGAGTGAGCTTCCTTTTGGCTTGAAGAATGTTCATGTAAACTGGTGAGACTGAACATGTGATGTTGTAAAGACCACAAATTAACTTTATGATGCTGCGGTCTGGCAAAGCTGTGGATTGTACCATTTTGGTGACATAATTTTAAGTCACATTTCAAGTGTGACTAGACTTAAATGTCTCTGAGTACTCAGTAATTTGGCATTAAGTAGGATATTCTGTAAAAATTTTAAGTAACCTACCAAGTATTTAAGGCCACTTTTAAATTTTGCTTCCTCTTTCACTGGGACAGTAAGACTTCCAGATTAAGTGTTTGCATTAATGAGTAAGTCTCTTTCAAGAGGGGCATTTGTGTTGTGACAGGCAGATGAATGGAAAAGGCTTAAGTCACAGTTTCACCACAATCCAAGTGTGAGCTAAGACTACGTGACCTACAGCTCCCCCCCTCCCCACCCATATAACCCTCGGTCTGTAAATCTCACAGACAAAGGTTCTCTTCGAAATTCCACTGTAAAATATTGCACAATCCTGACATGAAAAGACCACAAAATTTAACACATTTATTTCAAAATCCTACGTAGCACCCTGGCAGAAATAAGACAAATGTAAAGAAGGGAACAACAAAAAAAATCTCGAGATGAGTCTCATAAAGCATGAGCGGAAAACTAAGATGACTCAGACTCGCGCGAACTTCTTCCATCTGTGGGATGGTATTCAAGCGCATCTCTAAACACGGGCTGAAACGTGAACAAGAAAAAGCAAAGCCAGAAAGCAATGGGAGGAAACTGTAGACACTCAGGGATCAACAGTGATGTTACATCATCTTTAAATAATCTAGATAGGTTCCATGAAAATTACTTTAAATTTTCATCTACTTTAAAATATATTAAAAACTTTCAAAACTCTGCAGAGAACATGTACAGTTCACAGAATGGATGAAACAATTATAAGGCCAGTTGGAAGGGAAAGAAGACAAATGGGTAGAATAATTTTTTAAAGCCTCCAAGATGGACATTAATATAAGCTCTCTCTAGAATGTGTTTAAACAACTTATTACCCAACAGGAGCTGCAGCCGTTTTCTGTTCCAACCCGCCACTCATCATCTCTCCAATTCGTTGTGATTGATCATCTATTTCTACTTCTTTTTCTAAAATATTCTGTCAACAATGTCAAGTGATTTCCATTTTTCAGCTCTCTTTTTCATTTAGGAGGAATGAACAAGTTGAGCACTGTGGGAAAAGAGTGATCTCCTGATTGAGATATGGTATTTTGAAAGTATGTGTGACGGTTCAAAGATGAGTCGTCTATTCTATAGAATAAGCCTTTGGTTCCTGAGCAAAGCAAGATGCTTTCTTTTGATTACACATGGCAAAGTCTTCTGTGTAATACAGGGGACTGCATATATCACACAAAAGTTAGAAAAATGGCCAACACATTCAAAGGTTTATCAATGCCTTAGCCCATAGATCAACTTGTCTTTAGGTCTTTCTCACTTGGGACGAGATTCAAAACATTGTTTCTTTTCAACAAAGGACCTACAAACACACACAAACATGATATCTTCATTACTGGTATTCCCACTAATCCCATTCCCTGGATCCTCTTTTTCCAGTATAGCCAATCTCAAAGCAGCTGGAGTAGCTGCCTGGCAGTTAATGTGGTGCTTGACTGTGGTTGTCCTGACTGTGGATAGCTGCAGAAGAGGTCTTCCAGGATATGAGCATGTGCTCATTTGCTCACCTTTAGTCTATCAGGAATATCAAGAATGATTGAAAAACAGATAAAGGTGGGGTAAAGCATTAAGATGGGGGCCATGAATCATCTGTAGATTTCTGTTCTCTGAAATATCACTGCCTTCTATTAATAAAAACCATAAAAATAAGAGCCATGAGCTAATGGAACTGTGGGCAAAGTAAACGTGGTGAGGTTGGGCAGTCAGAGCCTGAAGGCTCCCTGAATGATGCTTGAGGCGTCTAGAACATTTACTCAGGGACCATTTAAAGCAAAGGCTCTCTGCTAATTTCCCAAAAGGCAACAGCAGTGTCCTATAGCCCCACTAAGACATATTATGATGACACAGTACAAAAGGTTAGAAAATTCCCAGACTCTGGATTGAAAAGCATAGGAAAACACATTCTCTTATCAGAAACGTGTCAAGAGAACATGGATCGACACCCACCTCCTATAACTACAACTTATTCGAGGCCTAGGCCACCTTTAGTTCATGCTTTCCTTGGGTCTGCCCTGGTCTTTCCTTTCTCCAGTCCTTGGAATGTGTTCTAAAAGCACTGGGCTGGGCTGGGACCAGAGTGTCCTGCTTTGTTAGGAGAGTTAGGAGAAATAGTTTTCCATATTAAAATGTGTAACCATGTTCCTTGCAAATTCTCTATTATAATCGGTCAGGATAGGGAAAGAAATGAGTTTTGTCTCTGGGGAAAAATGAGGGTGAGATACACAAGAACTAGTTTGTGGTCTATCTCAGTTTTGATCTTGTCTCAATTAAGTGATTCATACAGACAAGTGCTGGTGTGATGTACTCAGATTCTAAATCCTAAATGCCCTCCTTGTCATTGGTGACATCAGACAAATGGTTTGGCAATCCTGTTTCATTTCTGAAAGCTAATCTTAAAATGATTCCCAGCATTCCAGATGCCAGTTGGTTAGAAACTGATAATCTGATTCCAGAATCAGTTGGTCCTGTGGGGCAAGTCATTAAAAACCTGTTTCAAAACATGCACGTAATCAATGTCTGCCTGTCCAGGGTTAGTGTACCATGTCTATTTTTCACAATTACTCTTGGTCTGGAGATGCTGTCACATCCACCCTCACAGTCCACACCTGAAGAGCATATCCAGTGTCAACCCGTGAGTGCGTTCAGAGGAGACAGCAGGGTCCTCTTTTATTTTCCCTACTAACATGTTTTACCTACATTAAACTCAGGGTTCTCACTGACTATCAATAAAGGCTGATTCCCCACATGCCACTGGGCAGAGAGCCGCCTCTTCTTCCTACTTTAAGCCACTGTCCTGAAGCTGGCCATCACTAGAGCCGCTCAGGAGGGGATGTGGACTAGAGTCCATTTTGCCTGCTGCTGTAGTTGAAATCTTCATCAAGCTGGGATTCTGTGATGTTTGACAGTTTCGTGTGTGTCCTCCCAATCTCTTCAAGGGCACAGGCCAGGGAGTCAAGGTCACCATCATGCTGATGACGAGCTTCCCATAGGTTCAAAATGACAGCAGATGGGCTACTCTGTGTAGCAAAATATGATAAATTCCTAGAGAAAATTAAACAAAAAAATAGTGACATATGCGATCACCATAAACAAATTAAAATGCACTTTAAAGATTTATTCATGGTTAAAAATACTGGCTTCTCTTGCAGAGGACCTGGGTACAAATCCCAACATGGTGGCTAACAACTGTGCAGAACTCCAGTTCCAGGGGACCAGACCCCTTCTGCTGGCCTCTATGGGCATTGCGTGAAATGGGTGCACTTACATGCATTCAGGCATGACCCTCATAGACATAAAATATATTTCAAAGTTTTTAAAAAAAGATTTCTTTATGCCTACTGTGTGCCTGCTTTTGTTTATGTACCACATGCACTCAGGTAACCATGGAGGCCCGAAGAGGTCACTGGATCTCCTGGAACTGGAGTTGTGAGCTGGTAATGAAACTCAGGTCCTCTTCAAGAGCAGTAAGTGATCTTAACAGCTCAGCCATCTCTGCAGTCCCTAAAATGAACCTTAATGGATATTATTACAATGGTTGTGGGAAGTTACACAGAAGCAGCCTTGGGAGTCGGTAAAACACCGCAACATTCAGTCCTAACTGTACACGGTGGTCTTTCTTATCTTTCAAGTCCTGTCTTGGTCCTGGCCTTCCTTGAACCACACGTGTGCATGTGGGGGCATGTATCTTTCCATCACGACTGCCCCCTTTAAATGTTCTAGTTCATTAGTTTATTTGATGAGATAAACTTATTCCTACTTTTTCAAATATCTGGCTCCTTTCTCCCTTGGCAAATAGAAGGGCTGCCAAGGTTTTATCTTCAATTTCTGATTCTCCCTTCCTTCTTCAGTGACAAATTTTTACATCCAATCTTCTTGGCTAATGTCATATAGTTATCAATTTGTAAATAAGCTTGGAATTGTTCCAAATACATTTCTCTCTACCACCTCAAACTCAGAACATCAGAAACTGCCAAGTCAATGCCTCCAGATTGGTGCCCTTTATAACTACAGCAAGCAGCCGGTATTTACAACGCCATTTCTAATCTCCAATGCTAGGATGTTTGCTGCTGAGCCTTGTGTTCTGGTGCTTCTTTCTTTGATACACTCATCAGCTTTATCCGTCCACTCTAATCAGACAACAATGACGTATGACTGCAGGGCCCACATCGCTGCAAGGACTTAGAACTCTGTCTAACCCAGGCCACATTCTACATCCTCAATCATAAGAAATCTTCTGTCATGCCAACTTTGGGCTGACCTTAATGCAGCTGTGCACACTCACACACACACAGACACACACACACTTCCTCTTCATCCCCCACCCACACTCCCACCTTCTTTTCTTCTGTTACAGCCATCAGCCTTGACAGGTGATACCTAGCTTCTTCCTACTGACGTCTACTCTATTCTGTTCATTGAGGAAAACTTTGCCTTGGTTTTCAAGATCATAGTTCCTGCAATGTGTGGTTCACTCTCAGGGTCTCTTTCCTCAAAATGAGTTATATATTCTCTGACTTATTTTTGTTATGTGGTTAAACAGTCTTGTGACAGCACTACCTGTGTATTTAGTACGTGTGTGACAGAGAAAGAGAGAGAGACAGAGAGAGAGAGAGAAAAAAAAAACTTTGTGTTCCTAATTTTGACTACAAAAACTTCAAAGCTAAGGATCAGATTTAATGACTTCCTGAATCTGCCACAGCATTTATCACAATACTAAGATGTTTATTCAACATCCATTAGCTGAGTAATTGATTCTTACATACTTTTTGCAGATGCTATAGTATCTTCAGTGAAAAAGAGAAACTCAACCTTAACCTTTTGGACAATAACTTTGTTATGATGAAGATTAAGATAATACAAAGGATTAAAGGTCACTGCTTTTCATGGAGACTTTAGCAGTAAGGACAGAGATGTCATCTCTGATGAAATTCTGGTGTTCTGCAGAGAAGTGCCTGCTTTGAAGATAGTAGCGCTTTTAAGCAGCTTTCCCAGCACATAATCACAAAATAAAACCATAGAGGAAACACTTATAAGAGAACACAAAGATTTAATTAGATATGGCTACTTACAAGGAACACACACACACACACAAACCATACCTCACACATGTACCACACCATACCACACACAGACACAATAAAACGCAGACACACACACACAGACACAGAGAGAGACAGACACACACACACACACACAAACCATACCTCACACATGTACCACACCATACCACACACAGACACAATAAAACGCAGACACGCACACACAGACACAGAGAGAGACAGACACACACACACACACACACACACATACCATACCTCACACATGTACCACACCATACCACACACAGACACAATAAAACGCAGACACGCACACACAGACACAGAGAGAGACAGACACACACACACACACACACACACAAACCATACCTCACACATGTACCACACCATACCACACACAGACACAATAAAACACAGACACACACACACAGACACAGAGAGAGACAGAGAGAGAGACAGAGAGAGAGACACAGAGAGAGAGGGAGAGAGAGAGAGAGGGAGAGAGAGAGAGAGAGGGAGAGAGAGAGAGAGAGAATACAACCAGCTAGTTGTCAAATAGCATAAATACTGGGATTATTGCAAATATATTTCACTGTATATGAATTTTTAACTGAGAAAGTGAGAAACAGCATAAGAATATTCACTCCAGCCTCTAGTTCCCATCTTTTCTTTCCTTCCTATCCCTGTTAAAAAATGGTCATTAATTTCCACCCTAATAGAAACAACAAAACAAATCCGAGGAGCTTAAGGGGTTGTGATTCCTCTTGTTTAAAACCTTTGTCATGAACAGGACACTTCCTCCTGTCTGTGGGGAGATGTTTGGAGAGGTTGTTAGATATCCTTATAACACCTCCCATGCCTCAGAATTTGACTAAGCAGTTCTGCTTTTTATTTGCTACTGAATAACACTTTTGTCCTGTGACTGGAATCATGATGATCAGAAAGTTGGACCATAATCGATACCAGAGGTTGACAAAACTACAAAGGGCTAGATAGTAAACAGCTCTGGCTCTGGGGGTATCTGGTGGCTCCCTGGGGCTCCCCCACTCTGCCATGGCAGGATAAAAGCAGAATAGATGTTTGTGTGAGTGACTGGTTGTGTTCCAGCAGAACTTTATTTACTTGTTATGTTGTTTCCAAGGATCTCACAGAATTACTCTTCCGACTTTTTCCCTTGATCGTTCAGAAATGCAACAAGCATTCTTAGCTTGCAGCAGATAAAGGGCCAAATTTGTCCTGTGGCCATGTGTTGCCCCTGTCCAGTGCTATTTTAAGACTTAAACTAGATATCTACAACTAAGAGCTAATCCAAAGACGGCAGGATAGAACCTCCTGCTTTCGAACCACCTTCGAAATATGTGTGTAGTCGTCTGAAGTTGCTGAGTCCCAAGCCAGGTTCTGACACAAGCACTCTAAGAGGGGTATCCTTCTAAATGTTTAGGGATCTCTGACACTTCAAGGTTAATGCTTAATAATAAAATAGTCAGAGGCATGTCTTTTCAAGTGATGAATCTTTATCCCAGTGCAGTTTTAAAAATACATACAATATACATTGCTCATAGGAACCTACAGCAATGGTGCCAGCATGCACAAACTCAAGCAGACAAAGACCCCACACAGAACTGTGGAAAGGGACAGCAGCCCACAATCTTAGCTGAAGACAGGGGCACTGGACAGGGGCAACACATGGCCACACTTAGCACTGGACAGGGGCAACACATGGCCATAAGAACTACTGGCAGCTGATTACTGCTGGGTGAGGAAGAGCTGATCTTAAAGGGAGTGACTCTACATAGGCTGATTAGACCCCAGTGGATAAAGTCACATAAGGGATGACTGGGTACACTAACTTGGCTCCATAGGTCTTAACATAAATGACAGAGTGTATGAATTCCAGTGGGGGCTATGGGAAAGTGCTGACGGGAAGGGGGTATAAAGAGGATTAAGATGTTGTGTATGAAATACACAAAAATTCAATAAAAATATTCAAAAAAAAGTTTTTAATACACAAGTCCACAGTAGGCAAGAGGCATTTTTGAGTACACATTTTGGGAAATGAGGAGATTGGCTCCTGACAGTCACAGGGCTCTGAAAAGTCCTGCAAATATTCTGACTTGTGGAATAGGCCACCAGGTTCTACAGAAACTAAATGACCAAAGGAGACTGAAATAATATCCTCACTTGGCATCTATGAACATACTATTGCAGGAAAATGTGTCTCCCAAGTAAGTTTTAGATTCAGTCTTTGAATTCATACACACTTAACATAACACACAGAATTTTCAAATTCCCCCTAATTTGGGTAGATATAGGAACATATCAGTCTTAAGAATATGATTTGCTTTACAATTAACAGGCATCCTATTAAACTATATTTACCTGTCCATAACAGAAAAAAATGTAAAAAAGAAATCCTGAAATTCCCAATACAATAGACCAGACTTCATAGACTGAGTACATGTATGTAAATGCAATATGATTTTTTTGGAACTTGGTCTGCCCAATTGGCCTTCTTCTTTTTTTAAATTTTTACAAAAACTTTGAGAATTTCATACATGCATATAAGGTTTGATCAAATCCATGCCCACTCCCTCCCCTCCAACATTTCCCCCTCTGAGGAGGTAACCCTAAAATCTTTTAAGGATTAGATACAAGCTCCCAAGCTCCAAAATACTTTTGACATTTTTGGCCTTGGAATAGAGTATGTTGCTAACAGTCCCAAGGACATTTTGACTTTTAGCCAAGAAACTGGCTACTTTTCTTTGGGGCCTTTTCTCCCTAACTGCCTAGCCAATTCCTACCTCCTATTTGTATCACACCGTCCTCTGAAGAGGTTACCCAAACTGCCAATAGGGAATAGGGATGCAGACTGCTCTGGCTTTTTCCATGCTGAACACAGGGTGAGGCAACTGGAGTGCCCCTTCAGTGGGTCTATCTTTTATAAAAGACTCCCAAATTGCATAACTTTTGTCTCTAAGGGAAAAG